CCCATAAAAGCCTGTGCTGTAAATCTGTTCATCTTTGCACCTCTTTTGGAGGTCAGAGGCCTCAGAAGGTTGTGAGGGGTCAGTGTTTCTCGAGTGTTGCGTTGCTCGTTGTTTCTCGGCTTTCTTCAGGAAGCGCTGAGGAATGGCGGGTGGTGACAGTTGTCACCATGGCCCTTACGCTGTTTAAAGGAGGTCTTCTCAGCACTTGTTGATGTGTGTCACTTCCAGCTTCTTCACGATGTGTCGGATTTCTCTGAGGTAGCTGTGCAGCAGTTCAACAACACATCACCGTGGATTGCATTCCATTTCCATCTTTTGTGTGTAAATGTATCAGTTAACAACATAATGTCTTAGGTGTAACAAAGCATTAGTTTGAAGGATTTCCTGGATAACTGATCAACATATACTGTTATCTGACCTTTTATAATAGCTTTTTTAAATCAAATTTAGTATGACAGATAATTGTAACAGGGCATTGTATTCCAGTCTGAGCTCTTTCTTTCTGTCATGTCTTCTTTAGATGTTCTGATCCAGAAAGTGCCTCGTCACACAGCCTGCTATTATCTGCCCCCTCCTCCTCCGTCTGGACTCACACTCACCTCTCCATCTGTGGTCTTATAAGGTTACAGAGCAGGATAGATGCAGGAGTGAGTGTGTAAGAGTGTTTGTGTTGGTTCTTGTGTTCTGTGGTCCATGATGTCCTCAGGTGAACAGTTCTGAACTGGGCCCGGTTTTGTATCTGTTTCTGCTTCGGTTGATCCTGGAACAGATACCTGTACACAAACCTACAGGTGCAGCTATGTCTTTCTGTTTGTACTTAAAGGATTGTTTTTGTCTTATAACTTGAGCTTATTTTTTTCTGCTATGGCTCGGTAATATTTTGTCTTTGCAAGTAGTTTTGAAATGTTTTTGTAACACTCAATAAAAGCTGGCCTTTCTGCTTACCAAATGTTTTGTGCAACATTATTTGTCTGAAGTCCTCCGAATCGGGAAGGTGCCCTTTAACACGGTTGTGCATATAGAAGTGCTTCAACAGCTAATTTTCTTTTAGGAGTCCTCAAATCAATCAGGCCGGATTTCATTGGGTGATCAGAGGCAGGCAGAAACTGAAATCGATCTTATTTATCGATCTTATCTGGCTCTGCAAACAATTGGCATGGGTCAGTTATCACTTTCCTTTTTGACTATTTTCATTCCACATGATGATGATTTATACTCGGTTCAGCCAATATAAACCTGCACTGAAAAAAAGAGGTCACTAAAAAAAAATTGTCTTCTCTGAGAGTTTATCTAGAACTTTCCTTATTGCTGTTTTTCTCCTTTAACTCATACTTTCCAAGTATTTCCAGTCCTCTATTTTTAGGAGGAGGTTTTTCTATGAATCCCCCCATTATGGCATATTCAATAACATTAATCTGTTTTATTTCACTGTGATTGAAATTTTCCACTAAGTTTCATCATCTTAAACCTTATTCTGCCAATAGTTCATTAAAGGGCAATAGCTCTGGTTTTATATCTTGGACCTGAGGAATTGTGGGTTTGATCCGGTCTCTATATTATTTATGAATGGACTGTTTCGGAGACATTAGTCAACATTTAAATTCTCAACTGTTTCCTTTACGCAAATATGAGGAGCACTTCAGATGACCTGGTTGATATATGGGAAAATAACCATTTCTCAAGTAGAAACATCTCATTTTATAAGATTAGATGAGAGAGATGGCTGATGAAGATAAATGGGAGGCAGAATTAACTATCATCCCTAATTTTCTGTGCATTTGTCCCTTTCATCTCTTTGAGGCAGAAATATTGCACTGTAAACATGTTGGGTTTGCCCTCGTTCCAGATAACCTCTCAGTTAGGTCAATGTTCCGTCTAACTGGGATGGAAGAAGCCTTTGGGAGAGGCCTTAATAACAGAGCGGGAGAGCTCATACATCAGTCTTCCTCACCACACCAACCACCCTGGCTCCAACACAGCCCCCAGACCATATAACAGCATATTAGTTGCTACAATATGCATAACAGTTCAAATTGAACATTTCTGATTTCTGGTTAAGCTTTGCCCTCCAATGCTGCTCTTGTTTCTCGTTCCTTTGTGCTCCGTATGCTCTTTGCTCAATTCCTTTCCCTCATTCCTGAGCTCAGCTCTGACTCCCATATGTTGCTGTCATAGCAAAGTCACACTAAAATCTGATAGGTTTATGGTGCTTAAGCTTGTGTCGCTGCCTGATTTTTATCTTCAGAAGCCAAATGCAGCTGGATGAGGATGAAAGGCTGCTCCCATTTCTCTTTCTGTGAACTTTGGATGTCTTAAATCCAATTGCAGTTTTAACCCCTTTCACACTATTGCTGGCAAACATCTGCAAAGAAAATAAGAAAGAAAGCTTTCCAAATCACGTAAGATCTTTTTTTCACGTCCAAAGCAAAATCTAACAAAAATATTTTTAAAAGCTTAGTTGTTCACATTCCATTACTTTTAAGTCACTGGACAGGAAACTTAAGATATAAAATTGATATAGACAAATTAAATAAAACCTCACTTCCTCTTTCTTATCCTTGTGTAATGTGTAATGAGAAGCTTCACCAAATATTTTTTAAGAGCTGAGGCATGACATTTGGGGATCATCTTGAGTAATAAAAATTTCATTGCATTTTTAAAGCCTGAATGAAAAATATATCGGACTTAAATTACTTATCGCATTCTCTGTCCATCTGTCTATCCATCTGTCTGTCCGACCATCCGGAAATCAAAATATTCTTGTTTACAGGTGCTGTTCCTGGCACAAATCAAGCACTGTGTCACTGTTGAACATGCAGTATATTCTCATAGTCTGTGAATTTTATTTCACAGTCAGTTGAATAAAGTTGTATATTGTTTGTATTTGTTTGCATCTCATCATACTAGCTAAACATATGGGGGACAGTGATGTGGGCGAAGGCTGTAGAAACTCAGTTAAAAAAAAGTTACCCAAATAAGAAAGAAGAAAAATGGATAATGATGGGGGAAAAAAACAAGCCAATTGTCTCTTTTCAATTGACTATTTTTTTGCCATCTGTGTCTAGGATTCTAAAGAAAAATTCCCAAATTACCTCCACTATATTATTACTGTATTGTCTTTATTAGTACTTCCTTCTGTCCCTCTGTTCCCACTTTTCCCATCACCGGCTATGACTGCTGAGCTCTCATATTGCTGTTGCGCTCGACTTGTTCTGCCTTGCTGAAGCCAGTGAGCTGCGACGCCTTTTCTCCTCTGTCTTTTGTTAACTGAGAAGCTTGAGGCTTCTGAAAGTCTGTCAGCACAAAAAAAAAAAAAAGGAAAATTAGACTCACTTTGAGGCCAAAACTTCCTTTGATACCAAATCATGTTAAGGAACCAACCATGTTAAGGAACCAGACATTATTTTGCTTTTATTCTCACACAACAGTACACTTTGTGAAAAACCTGCAGCATCATTTGATAATAAATCAACTCTATGGAATAGAGTTTATTGAGCTCCTGTGCTGTTAAGTTTGCTCCCTTTAGCGCTGTTGATATCAGGGACCACAATGCTCACCATAACTGAATCTACAGCTTGTTGTTATCCAGTTGCCAAGATGTCGGACGTCCTTGGTGACAGGTGTAGAGGCCTGAAGCATAGCTTGTTAACACCAAGGACCACCGCAAAGTTGTTTCCACCCCGAGACAGAACGTGTGATCCAACACATTATCACCTAATTAGTTGGGCTCTCTGTTTGTCCCTGAGGAACATTGATTTCACACTTTTTCACCATGTGTTGCCATTTTACATGGCAGCACATGGAAGATTTATTTCAAATTTGAAAGTATATTTGTTATTTTCACAATAACAGTTTCTGGTTAAGAGCAGTGAAGTGAAAAGAACATATCAGAATGTGATTATTATTTTTTTTTACTAGTTTTACATTTGTGAGCAGGCATCTGTAATCTATATTAGGCGCTGTGGGAGTCACCATAAAATAGGCTTTTAATATTTTTAAACTAAAACAAAATAAATTCACATTTTAAACCATCTGATTGGATGGACTGTGTCAGTTAGATTTGTTAGATCCTCATCTTAACTCTGGTTTATGTGTCAACGTTTCCAAATCTAAGCTAAAACAAAAGAGTAATTTTACTGGAGTCACTTCAGCATTTATGTGATATGCTATTAGTTTTGCTTTCTCTCACTCTTCCCCAACCCCAATGAACAGCACAGTTCCACATATACTGAAAAACTTTATCTACTAAATATCTTCAAACATTTCTGTGCTACCTCTGACCTCGTTAAAAAGCCCGGTCTTCTTCCCACGGTAAAAAAAAACCTGCTTACAAAAGAGTTTAAACTGACCCTGATTTCTGATAGGTTAGGTAGATTTTTGGGTGACTTAACTGACCAGTCATGAATCAATTTGAAAACTGTCTGATTAAGTTCAAAAGCTAATTTCTCTATTAATCTCTGTTTTCATTTGTGGAACGAATGCAGACATATTTATTTGTAGAGATTAAGTCCTCAGAATATTTTTTTTTCTTTGCAATTGCTCAAGCCTACATTTTCTGCATATGTTTGTCACTGAGATTGTGTGTTAACAACACATAGCGATGCATGCAAACACAATGGGATGCCACCTGTGAGTTTTATGTTAACTGAGAATCATTTGTAGTGCAGGCTGTTGTTTCAGGAGACTTTTCTTTCCATGGTTGGCTTTTTAATTTGCTGTGTGACCTGCAGCATCACACACTCAAGCCCATTTTCAGCCTCCTGTAATGAAAAACGTAGCTCTGTCGTCAGTTGGTAATAAAGGAGCATTAGGACCAAATGGCCTGCTGATAGGCTCCCTGTTGTACAATCAGTTCTTTGATCTGCATCAGCAAACCTACACCATCGCCACATGTATCTATGGAGTATTTTTCTGCAACAACATATAAAATAAAATTCACTTTTTACTGTTTCATCTGGCAATCATTCAGACTAAATTTTTTTTACTCCTTCTGTCTTCAGGATCAGAGCTTCCCCAGGACCTCGGTGTACTTGCTGCCACCTCGTGGAATGCCACAGAAGGTAAAAAAACAACTTTTATACCAATGTGAACACATTTTTAAGAGTCACGTATTCATGATGTGTTCTCTATAGACTTTTGAGCTCTGATCAAAGTTTTAAGATAATATTCACTGAGAGCGTTGGAGCCTGTTTATTGTCCCACTGTGAACTGTTACACAGGATAATTGATGGAAAAGCTTGTTTGTCTACAGCTACAAATTAGGCATTGTTCAAATTTTCACTGAAAAACTTTTATAGCTGCATTATGTGGATGTTATTATCAAACCTAGAAAACCTGGTTATGTTTTTGTGCATCTTTATTGCACTTGTTTATTATCATTTTGGTACTCTCTGTTTAATTATCTGTGGGAATGAACTGTTTACAACCTTAGACTTTTTGTCAACCTACATATGTGTTGTGCATTATCCTTTGTAGAAATGCCTTCCACTGCACTTGCAGTCTCAAAATATTTGGGTTATGTTTCTATCTACTTTGCACATCTTGAGACTGAATTCTTGCTCATTCTGGTTTGTTCAGTCGCAGTCAATTTATATGTGAAAAGTCTGTGAACAGCAATTTTGAGGTTTTCTCACAGATCCAGTTTGATTAAGGTCTGGATTTTGACTGGGCGATTTTTACTCATGAATAAGCTTTGATCGGTCCAAGCAGTGTCCACAAAACAAACAATCCTTGAAGGCCGATATTTTGCATGCTGTAGATGCAACCCTTATTCTGCGATCCTGAATCAAATGAAATAATCATTATGAGGCTTCTGGATTTGTTTAGTTTGTGTCTGCTTTGTTTCATTTCATTTTCTTGTGTCATTAAATGTCAATTAAGTAGGCGTTGTCCTGGTGTAATCCATGACTATTTCCTGTTCACTTTGCTAAAAGAACCAGGCTGTAAGATGATAGGGTTGCCTTGACCTACTTTACATTTTTTACTTGTAGTCGGATCATCAAATTGTGGAAGTAAAAAATAATTTCGCCATAATCACAATTCAGTTGAACTTTTGGTGTTATCATTTTTAAAGGTTTCTGCAATGGATTTTCTGGAGGTTCACATTTAGCCAGGCTCATTTATCGAACAAAAAAAGTTCTCCAGAGAAGAATTTAAAAAAAAGCCCCTGCGTGAATCTCTGTAAAATGCCTTTCATCTGGTTCAGAATAATTGTCAGAATAAATAAATAGTCTTGTCTCCTGCAGCTTGTCAGGCCTTTTTCAGCACTTTCCATCAGTGGAAGCATCTGTTGTTCTCCTGTCAGAGCTGAAGTACTTACTGAGCCAAATCCACAACGTTTTCTGGATATTTTCACTAAACTGCTTCACAGTGTAATCAGTCAAAATCTGCTCCTCCCTTTGGTTTCTCCTTGAACTACTAGGATCCGCCTAAATTCCCACGAAGAAACAGCCGTGGAAGACCCGGAGTATGAAACTTTGATGGATGTGACCTTTATTTTATTTTATTTTTTTGCTCTTTGTCTGGTTTAGTTTAATTCAACTCTTGCAAAGCCAACACTCCCACAACATCCTTCCCACGACGTGTACACAAAAGAAGGCATTTTCAAGCGGACGGGCATAAAGGAAAACGGTAGTTTCTGGATATGATTGAGCAGTTCAGCGAAGATAATGATTACTGAGAGCAATCAGGGATGTTTAGAATATCATAAATACAACCAGGAGAAGGTCCAAACAAATCACGAAGCCTGCTTCGTTTTTCCACAGCATAAAACATTTAAACCTGTAAAACAGTGCGTCAGCATTTTGAGCTTAGCATCAACATCTGTTTCTACTCTCATGAAGTAGATTGTAGTTCTTGTTTCGTCTGCAGGCAAATAAAGTTGTGTTTTACCAGCAAGGCACAACAGTCAGATGGTGTGGTGATGTCAGTGTGTATCAGCCGTATGAAGACATAATGCCAAAGACTCTCAATGTGCTGACAAAACTTTCAATATTTTAATCTTTCTCACTTTCCTTTTATCTTGTCCTATTGTACAATGAATCAAATTTTATTATATTAATCATAACCAGCAGTCTATTAAATTAAAATACATTTTTAAATTGATTTAATATAGCAAAAGTAATACTTGTAAGACATTGATTCATTACACACAACTATACTGTAATTCTAATTATTTTTTTTTTCTGTTAACATTCATTGATAAGACAACAAATTATAGTTTCTTGGAAGGTTCATTAGACCAGTATAAAATGACTTTCAATGCAAAGTTTTAAGTTGTTGCAACTCATGTTATTATTATTTTAGTTTTCATGCAATTTCCAAGTTCAATTTGTAACATTTAGCGAGACTACTCAGTATGTGTGATTCTCAAAAGAGAGAAAGTACAGATCAGTCACTCGGATGTGCATTTTTAGACTAAACACAAACATTCCAAACTTGCTTTAAGCTCTAAGCTTTGTGTACTTGCATGTTTCATCATCTTATTCTTTCTAAAAAATATATATATATACAAATTTTCAAAATTCGCACCAATATTGCCTTTAGATTATCAGAAGAGATGCAAAGTGCGTAACATTTTGGATTTACAGTAAACTTAAGACCTATGTACATTGTATTATATTTTCTGTGGATAAATACCTGCTGGATACCTTTACTTGCTCCTGACACCTCCACCATTTTGCTTTTCACTCCCATAAACTTCTCTATTTCTCGTCCTCCGTCAGTCCTACACACTGGTGTGCTACCTGAGTTGCCCCCCACCTTCTTCAAGTCAGACAAAATTTGTGTCAAATGTTTGTGCTACATTAGTGCTGGTTTGTGCAGCAACCAGCCCCCCCACCTTCTTCAAATCAGACAAAATGAGTGTCAATTAACTTGACTACGTTTGTGCTGGTTTGTCTGATTTCATAAAAGTGGGGGGGCTTGTTGACCTTTTGACCTTTAACCTTTCATTAATATCTTCAAAGCCAAAGCAGCACAAACAATTTTTTTTTTTGCTGCACAAACGTAGCACAAACATTTGACACCAATTTTGTCTGATTTAAAGAAGGTGGGGGGAGGTGGTAACTTCACTCAGGTTTGTGTGCTTGACTGTAGGCTATTTCTTCTGCTGGGTTGAACAGGCAGTCTGTTGATTAGTTTTAGCAGTAGTGCCACCTAGTGACCAGGGCTTGTTTATCATTCAAGCATGAATGAAGAAAATTCTAAGAAGTGCTCCTCACTCACATTTTATCCAACTTAAATATTAACTTTTTTTTAAATCCCCCAACAAATGTTTTTTGGAAGGGCCAGTTCTGGGATCCCCTCCGCCTTTACCCCTCCATACATGGCACAGTGCTATAGTTCAGATTTCATATCGGCTGAGAATGTTTAGTGAGCCGTGGAGAGTCTTAAGTTTCTGAGAATACAGTTTCAGTGGTGAAACGAAGAGGTTGCTCTGAGCATGTAAAGGTCTCTATCTCGCTGGTTGTGTTTACAGTTATGTGTCCGCACGTGAGCGTTTGATTGCACCAAAGTACAGCAAGGGGAAAATGTGGACCGATGACAGGGCAACATTTTAGCCACCCGCCACATTAAAAGACAATCCTCGGTGAGGGCTTAAGTTTCAACATGCCCCCTGTGCCAAATACCACAACTCTTACCACAAGACAATTACATACAGAGGCTTAGTTACACAGACACACGTTCCTCCTCTACACCCCTCTTTTCTTTTCTTTTTTTTTTTTATCTCATTTTGCTTTATTGTCAGTAGTTATAACACCTAATGGAGTACGTAGACACACCACTCCAAAAACAATTTTCTTTTCCATCAACCCAACTAATGAAACACTATTAAAGTGAGTCACTGTTCTGACCTTCCTCCCCCCTGCCTTCTCGCAAAAACACCTTGTCTCATTTAAAAGTGTCTTTGTTCAGATGCAATACTAGGTTAACCAACGAGTGGGCTGGATTCGGTCCTCTAAATGTTGACTGTACATGTAAGCACAGATTCTCTGCAGACCTCCATGCCTTTTTGTTGATGGTTTGGCACTTGGATCACAGAGACCCAGGAGTAAGCTTACACAGTTGAACAGTCATATACCCTCATCAAGATGAATGCGACATCCATTGCAGCTGACCTTTATCTGCACCCGTCCATGTGTAGTTTTACCGCTATACATGCTGATGTTGTTTCCGTAAAGTATGACTATGGTGCAGCAGATGACTTGTTGGAACTCGTTTGAATCATTTGATCGGAATTGCACTTTACCTCAATTTTAGACATAACACAATGAATACGATTTATTTGGTTTTCTATTAGCCTTTCTCCATGGATATAGTATTAACCGGTTCTTCACCAGTCAGCTCTTCCAGGTAATTCCCATTTTTGTGGAATTACCTCAGGGGTGGTACAAGTGAGGTCAATCCAGATGCAAGTGATTTGATTGGCAGCAGACTGCATTCGCTGTCTGACCGGTGGATTTACATCACTTCATGAGCAAGGTGGAAGGTACAGTGGACGAGGCAACTCACAACAAACAAATATACAGAGAGGTTTTGGAGAAACTGAAAACCCAAGGGTACACACAAAAAATTACATCATTGGAGATTCAACCACAGCTCTGACACACTTACAGCCCGCCCACATTCACGCCCATCTTGTGACGAACACACTGCTAGAGGAGACACATCCCAACTTGGCCAGAACCAAACCAGACATTAACCAGCTAGACTGAGACTTGACAATGGAGACGGGGCTTATGAACTCACACTTACATCACCATTAACTCACTCCAAACTCCATGCAGGAAGAGCTCAGGTTGGGATTCGAACCTAGAACCTTCATGCTACAAGTCAGCTGGTCCATTGTGAAGCCATATAGAAAATTGCCTTACATTGTTGGCTGTCCTCTTCACACAGACAAAAAAAGGAATTCATTTCTGTATTATGTGAGAAAACTAACAATATTATGTTTTTACAATTATGTTTTGCAAACATAATTGCACACATAGATATTTAATGTTAACTTTTAATAATAGAGCAATTCAAGCAATATTAGTAAATAATCAAGACTATAGAA